CTCATCATTGATGTTTCTGTCTCTCCCTCCCCCTTCCTCTATGAAATCAATAAAAAAATTTGGAAAAAAAAAGAGTGACTGTGTGTATGAGTGTGTTAACTAGCATAGTCAGTTGAAGTTGAGGAGGATCTGGAGAAATAGTGTCAGGCTGGATACTATAGAGGAAGAGCAAATACAAAGTCTTCCAGGGAGGACAGAGTTGAGTGTGTTTGAATAATATCAAGATGGCTGATATGGCTACTGCAGGAACACCGAAGAGCAGAGTTGGGAGATGACGTTGGAGAGATAACAGGGATGGAGTCATGGAATGCCTTGTAGACCATGATAAATGATGGAGTCTGAGTGTGATGGAATTTGGGGTCTGAGTGTGATGGGGTCTGAGTGTGATGGAGGATTTGGGGCTGTGGATAATCCTCCTGCCAGTCATGTGCAGAACTGACTATAGGGGACAAGATTAGAAGCAGGGAATCTGGAGGTGTTTACAGTAGTTTGGTTGAGGAATGATGGTAGCTTGGAGAAGAGTAAAGGCAATGGAGGTGGGGAGTAGTCAGGTTTGGGATATATTTTGAATATTGAGCTACTGGCAGAGGTTGGATGGAGAGAGAGAGAAAGGCGTGGTCAAAGGAAGAAAGAACTTAAGGAGAGTACCAGCTTTTTCAGGTTTTTATGGGAAACCTAGGGGAGAATTAGATTGGGGGAAATAAAAAGTTCTGTATTGGTCAGGTTAAGTTTGAGATGCCTGTTAGATACCCAAGTGGACAGTGCATATCTCAGCTGGGTCTCAGGAGGTTATTGGGGGTGAAGTACATATTTGGGAGTCATGTGTGTCTAAGTAATATTTAAAGCAATGACTCAAGATACAATCAACAAGGGCATGAGTGTAAATAAAGAGGGCCAAGGACTGAGTTTGGATGGATGCCAGCACTTAATGGCTGGGAAGAGATGGAGGAAGCAGCAGAGAAGATGGAGAGAGATCTGCCAGCGAGAGCAGTATAGACCAATAGACTGTGGTGCCTTTGAAACCAAGTAAATAAAGTGTTTCAAGGAGAATAACAAACTATAAGTAAAGCCTCCGAGAGACCAAGTAAGAGGAGGACTGAGCACTGAATACTGATTTGGCAAGATGTGACCCTTTGCCTCAAGAGCTCTCAGCACAGTGAAATTGGGAACCTAAGAAAACGGATAAATTGTTATCCAATGGTGGAAGTTGTGTTCCAGAAATTTAATACATTTATGGAGATGGGTTGAAGATGGAGCAAGGAAAGCGTCATGGAGGAAATGTACTTTCGGATTCTGGCACATAAGGAAAAGGGGAAATTATTGAGATTCTAGTTGGTTATTGATTTTTCTATAATCACTCATGCACAACTGATATTTCATCTCCCAAGTGAATATCTCACTATTATAACTCCGTGTGTACATATTTATCAATTTTCATACTCATGATAACTATAAGGACAGTACACATACTCCATCACACCCTACTCGATGTGGAGGCTACTCTTGGAATTATATATTTTTTGTTATAGTCTTTATCTTTTAGTTATATTTTAATTTGCTTTTAAATATGTGTGTAAGTGAAGAGACCCTATTTTTAATGATAATAGCTATGATGTACCTAATGCCTACCATTGTAAGGCACTGTTGTAAGAACTACATGTATTAATTTATTCCCCCCCACCAAAAAAAATCCTAATACCTTTATCATCTATTTTATTCCATTTGTGATAATTGAGGCATAGAGAGGTTAAGTAACTTTCTCAAGGTCACACAGTAATGGCAGAGCCAGTATAAGAACCAGGCTATCTGGCTTCAGAGCTTACCATTTTGAGCGGTATGCTGTACTTCCATCCTTACTATTTTATCTCTACCTTCCTGGGAAGGCCATCTATTAGGGAAACATATTCAAGGGGTAGGCTTTCTTTGACTTGAACTATAATTTTCTAAAGATTCAGTAAGTCAGTTGCATGCAAGTTTTTATTTCAGAATAGTGTGGTAGGACCCAGGTACTGGATACTAATTACTCCACATGGAGAAGAGACCATTAGTTTTATTTTGTTTTAACAATTGATTATAGGTTCTCATGTGTAAGAATTTAGCTCATAGATTTAGAAGATGGTGTTAAAAGGAACTAGAGTTTTGTGATGAAGAAGATCCTTTTATTGATGGAAACATTCACTTCATTACTATCCTAGATGTATTGGCTCATGTCTTCATTTCCTTTGTAATCTAGTTGAAAGCACATGAGAATAGATTGCCTATTTAAAAAGCTATAAAGCTCCAGGTCAGTATGGTTCAGTAGTTGAGCATTGACCTATGATCCAGTAGGTCATAGTTTGATTACTGGTCGGGGCACATGCCTGGATTACAGGCTCAATCCCCAATGAGGGGCATGTAGGAGGCAATAAATCAATGATTCTCTTTCATCATTGATGTTTCTATCCCTCTCCCCTTCCTCTCTGAAATAATATATATATATATATATATATATATATATATATATATATATATGAAAGAATATATATATTATATATTATATATATATATATATATATATATATATATATATATTTTTTTTTTTTTTTTTTAAGAAGAGGTACAAAGTATAAATTGGAGCAACAATGTTTGGCAATGCCTACTATGTGCAAATAATTGCTTTGGGTATAAGGAAGGGCTGTGATTTCTTAAGAGCTAAAATCAATGAGTAGTCAAAATCTTTAAGATGCCTTGATGTTCAAATAACAATAAGTATATGCACAATTCTAAATAATAAAAGCCTAGGTGGAATCATGCCCTCACGTGACATCATCCCAAGATGATCGCCACAAGATGGCTGACAAGGGAGGGCAGTTGGGGTGAACAGGCCAGCAGGGGAGGGAAGTTAGGGGCCATCAGACTGGCAGGGAGCAGTTAGGCATCAATCAGGCTGGCAGGGGAGCAGTTAGGGGGCAATCAGGCCAGCACAAATTTTATGCACTGGGCTTCTAGTTGAAATATAAAATAATTTGACTGTAGTGGAATTCAGTAGTGGTTCAGCCTTTGATCTCTAATGTTTTTGGTTTTGTTTGTTTGTTTTTTATTGGCTGACTTTATCTGTAAAGATGGTGTTATTTTCTTTCTTTCTGACACTACACTGTAATTGCTTCACCCAAGGATGGGGATGGGATACATGTGTTTCAAAACAACTTGAAACCTCTTCCTTTAGGATATTTTGAGTTCCACCTTTGATTGAAACACTTTTTAAATTAGGTACCAGCCAGTTTTTCTTTTCTGGCCGAAAGAGAGTGTGGAATAAGTAACCTTACAACTATCCCAGTAACTTTAAGTTACAGACCCCATAGTTTCATTATTTGTTCTTTCCCCTCAAGGTGAAAGCCTACCTGTTCTTCTCTTTATTCTATTCTCATTAAAATATTCTTCTCTTGGCATAGTCATTTTCCTATATAAGAAAAGGCTAATATGCACATCGACTGAACGGGAGAATGACCACTCACTATGATGTACACTGACCACCAGGGGGCAGACACTCAATGCAGGAGCTGCCCCCTGGTGGTGAGTGTGCTCCCACAGGGGGAGTGCTGCTCAGCCAGAAGCCGTGCTCATGGCTGGCGAGCGCAGTGGCAGTTGGACATTCCCCAAGGGCTCCGAACTGTGAGAGGATGCAGGCCGGGCTGAGGGACCCTCCATCCCCTGAGTACATGAATTTTATGCACTGGGCTTCTAGTATTTTCAGAAAAGCTTAAGGGAGCCAGCATTCAAATTCGCTCTTAATTTCTACAAACACAGAAAACCAGCTGGGAAATGGAGATTGTGGCTCTGTCCCTGTCTGCTCTGTAATATTGCCATAAGCTATGGAAGCTGAGGAGGGGTGGGGAGACTTAGGTGATTGTTTAGCTCGGGAAAGAAGCTACTTCCTGCAGAAAGAGGCTTCCAAATGGCTCCATAACAAAGCCAACACTCACACAGGTTTCCTGTGGGCCACTTCCCCTCTGGGGCGTCTGTCCCAGAGCCAAGGGGGGGAGGAAATTCTCCTCTTACAAAATCTCAAATCTCTGATAACTCACCGAACTGATCACTATTTTGAAAACTTATAAAATCGAGGCTATTGTGAACTTCTGAAGAATCTCATGAACATGCTTTTAGGAAATTAAATAAGATTTGTTTTGGAAATTGAGAAAAAAAGAGTAAAATGGAAACATTTAGATAAGATATCACATTGATAAGCAGTCTCACTACGAACTTTAGAACGCTTAAAAATATACATACCTAGAAGAATTAAGTCGTGACTAAAGTATGTTAACTATCATGCTTTAAATTATTTTATCCCCAAACTTGTCCTTTTGGGACATACTTTAAAAAGTTTTAGATTTTATTTTTATCTCTATTTTTACTTTGTAAAACCTATCAATGAAAAATACTTCTTTTCCTTCAAGATACAGATCGCCTAATAAATACTTGAATCCTTTTATGATTCCCCCCCCCCCCGCAGGAAAATCAAAGTATTGTATAATAGTACAGCACCAATTGTTATATCAGCATAAAAATTCTGATGCTTATTATTCCCAACATTTTCATTTCTGAATGGCCTGTGGTGAATATAGGAAAAGTGGCAAGAACACTTCTTTCACCACTTGTGTGGTTAGTGGTGATTTTTAAAAAAAAGAATTGTGGTGCAATTACACTATATTTTAAAATATTCACAATAAAAAAGTTGATGAGTCTCAGGTGCATTTTAGGGAATTTCCCCAGTATTATTCATTTGATTTTTTTTTTTTTTTTGGTGGGGGGGAGAGTTACAATACAAATCGATGTGCCAATTGTTCTCCTAATAATTCCAGCAAAGTCCTTGGTTGCATGTCATGCTAAGTTACCTGTCTATTGCCAGGCCCGCACCCAATACTAACATCAGAAGCCAGCCAGACTCCTGGGGAGGGGGGTGTCGCCTCCGCCTCACTCACCGTGCAGGCAGGGACCGGCCTCCCCGCTCCTGCTCCTCTTACCTGCATAGTGGTCAAACACGGTGGGCACGTACTCCTCTGGGAAGGCGTCGTTGGCATAGCTCATCAGCAGGCAGGTTTTGCCCACGGCGCCGTCCCCCACCACCACACACTTCAGCATCTTCTTCTCCTCGCTGCCCCCGCAGCCGCAGCTGCTGTCACTCTCCTTGCAGTTCATTCTCGCCGCTCCAGCTGCTGTGCCTGAGCCGCTGCTCTGGCTTCTCCCGCTTCTCCCAGAGCCCATGGAGCTGCGGGAAGGGATCTCAAGCACCAGGCTTGAGGTCACTTTGCTTTACTTTGGGTACCTGGGGTCCCGCAGACTTGTTGGAGGCAGCTGGCATACGCCCTCTGGCTTACCATGCTGGCAGAGAAAGGTAACACACACTTGGGAGAATTACGAACCCCTTTTGCCTAAGCAGTGTGAGTCCAGAAACCCTCATTTTCACCGAGCACTAAGGGCAGTCTGGAAATTTCACCAGCCTGCGGGTTTCACTCTGCTCTCCCCCTCTCCAGCCCGGCTGCAGACACGGGGTTTTGCTGAATCTTCCCCATTTCCCCCTTCACAGCTAACATGGAGGAGAGCCGGGCTTTTTAATGGAGTTTCCCCCTGGCTTCCTCCAGCCTGCCGAGTGTCAGGAAATCATGGGTTTCCTGCTGCATTCCATATTAGGCTCCGTGGGCTGGGGAAGGCTGCAACAATGGGAGCTCTGTGTGCGTGTGTTTGTACTTCTGGGGAACGCTGCCAGGACCTGAGTGGGAAAGCACTAGGGGTCCCACTGCAGACTCAAGCTGTCAGACTTCCTGTCCGTCCGCTGCTGGGGAGGCTGTTTGCCTGTGGCTGGCCGGGAAGAGGCTGATGAAAGGATGGAAACTGGGGAGCACTGTCTGCCCCAGAAACAGGGGAATGGCTTAAGGGAGCAGAGAGAACCACACCAGCCGTGCTAGGATAACATATGACATCATCCCTCTCTGAGTCACCACTTAAAAGCTCTGCAAATGAAAAATGGACAGTTCGTCACATACTTAAATGAGAAACCTTAAGCAATTCCTTCCTGCAATAAAGAGAGAGAGAGAGAGAGAGGGGAAAAAAACACACCAAAAACCAAAAAAACCATCCAGGATTAGTTAAGGATTTCAAAAGGAAAGTTGGATCATAGGTATAACGTGTGTTCAGGATCGAAAGTTGCCACAGTTGAGCACAACGCTCAAACAAATGTGTATTCCAGACACAAGCCTTTTTATGGTCATAGCACATAAGAAATCAATCAGATGTGGGACATTTGCATCTTCTTATTAGTGAGGAAACACACATGTGCTTGGCTCACTCTTACTCTTGGAAGGGAGTGTGTGGGATGGCTGCATTGATTTGGCTCAGGCCCCCAAATGCTGCTTTTACTGGGAGGGTTCCCTGTTTGATTTAGCCCCATTCCCTTGGGTCAGCCTGGTTCCCTTCAATTACAAAGGAACCATGGGCAGCTAATTTATTTGTCTGTTGGATCACTCAGAATGGAGTCCCTTTGAAGCTCTGAGTTTGATTAATGTACTTGGTCTTAGAAAAGAAGTGGAACTCAGCAAATGATTTTGACAAATAAGTCAAGTCCTTTTTTGATGGAGCAACTGTGTTTCTTTGAGATTTTTGAGCACCGACTTTTGAGTATTCAGGATATCTAATTGACTTGAGGAGGTTTCTTTCTGTGTGTGTGTGTGTGTGTAGAGGGTGGGAAAGTCTCTGTATATCCACATATACACTGAGTGGACAGATTATTATGATCTCTGAAAGCATAATAATCTGACCACTCAGTGTGTGTGTGTGTGTGTGTGTGTGTGTGTGTGTAGAGGGTGGGAAAGAAGTCTCTGTATATCCACATATACACTGAATGAACAGATTATTATGATCTCTGAAAGCATAATAATCTGACCACTCAGTGTGTGTGTGTGTGTGTGTGTGTGTGTGTGTATACACACTCATGCACTGGGCCTCTAATATATATGTGTGTATACACACACACACACACACACACACACACACACATTCATGTATTAGAGGCCCAGTGCATGAATTCGTGCATGGGTGCGATTGGGACATAGTGGTTGACTGGCCTGCCTACTGGTCGAACTCCTGGTCAAGGGGACAATTTGCATATTAGCCTTTTATTATATAGGATATACACTGAGTGGCCAGATTATTATGCATTCAGAGATCATAATAATCTGGCCACTCAGTGTATATACTACTGTGTAATAGATACAGCCTAGATTTCTCCTATAGTTACATTTGCCATATTGCATCATGTCCCAAAATCTTTCCTACAAAGGGCTGGTGTTTCAGTCAGGTTACCTAGTAGATATACTAGGCCATGTTGCCATGGAAAATAGCTCCCAATGCTCAATGATATAGAATATCAGGTGTGTTTCTTGCATCTGTAGTGTGTCTTTTTGTCACCTTCATTCTGAGATCGAGGCTGATGGAGCAGCCACCTGGAGCACATGGACGATCACCTCCATGGCAGAGGAAGAAATCCGTGTGGGAGGTGGCGTTGGCTTTCAAGGCTTCCTTCTGGAGGCAACACTCAGTTGTCTACTTGTCAAGTGCTGTGGCTGAGGGTTTACCTGTGTGTAGATGACTGCCTTTTCCTGAGCTTGTGCTCAAGTTTCACACGGGCTGGTAATCCAACCTGACCCCATCTCAGGGCTTCAAACGGGGATCACCGTTCTCTCAGTTGCTGGGTTGGCAGCACCCAGGTTCCAGGATAGCCCATAGGGACTGCAAACCAGAGAGAATTTGTGGGACTCTTGTCTAGGGGTCACTGGTGGTTTAGAAACCCAGAGATCACGTAGTTGAGGTAGAATTAGCAGTGCAAAAGTTGAATTGTTTATGCTTCATGCCGTTCTGAAGCATTTGAAAGCTCCCATTACTTCATGCATGTGATCTATGTACTAGTATTTTCATCCAGTCTACCTGAAACATCTGGAATATGGTGTAATGAAATTGCAATTTGAAAACTTATATTTTCCTTCTAGAAAATAGGCTCAAGGGTGGAAGTGGCAGCCAGATAAGCCTGTGCTGGTGAAGGAGTGACTGACAGTGTTGAGAACTCCATCCTGAGGATGAACAAGATCACTTTGAGCACAATGTGATGATACATATTTGGAACACCATTGAGGAGTTTTGCCTTTGACCTTTTCCCTGAGAGAAGGCAGTGAATGTGGCCTGGGTAAGTATGCCATTCAAATACCATGTGCTGCCCAGCCTGAACTCCTCCGTTACAAATAGGCCCCAACCCACTAAACACTTGGTCTGGGAAAAAACTGAGAAATTGGATTGGGTAACATTTTGCTACATCCATATATAACCTAAACCTTGTGCCATCAGACACAGATATTTAAGTTCGTGTCCATTGCTATACCTTAATTAAAAAAAAAAAAAAAAAAGAGAGAGAGAGACAATTAGGAGAAGACACAACCAATTATGGGTCTTTTACCGCTGACTCAGAGGGTAGGTACATTTACTAGATTGGATCATATGCAAACATGGACCAAGGCTGTTGAGGATGTTGGCTATATTTCTCAAACTTGTTTCATTATTCTTACTGGACCCTCCCTCCCTCCATTGAATTTGTACAGGGAGAAATGTTTGGGACATTCATGTAAAAATGGCAGAAGAGTTAACAATTTAATAATCTGCTTATTATATAGACCAATTTGTCCACGAAAGAATAAATCTTTTTAAATATTAAAAGATATACCTGAAGCAGAGAAACAGATTTTTTTTTTTTTTAAAGATAATTCATCATTGTCCTTACAGGTTCACAAGTTTAAAGAATTGTGATTTCTTGCCCTGGTAGAATGGTCAAGAATGTACTTTAATTCCAAAGGCTTCTAGGTATGAATTTAGAAGTGCTATGAAGACCGTTTGCTAAAATGTTTTTTACTAGATGCCTGTCCGTCAGGATCCTGGCCATCTGCAATGACTGGGGTGTGGTTTCATAGCCATTAATTATGTGGTTTACCTCAAGCACCAAGTTTACACAAACTTACCAGCACATGGTGAAGTCTTGTTGGGCGGCATTTCCTGCTTTTTCTAAGAAGCCTTAATTCCTTGGCTCCCTCTTGTCCTCTGAACTTTGAGGACAAAATTCTCTTGGTGTCACATGAATTTCGCCAAGTGCCAATAGAACATGTTTGTATATAATTCGGACTCCTCTGATTACGCCCAGTTTTGGTGTGACTTAAAAAAAAAAAAAAAAAAAAAGAACTCAGACTTCCTCCTCTATTTTTCTTTCTTTTGTATTTGAAATTCGAAGCTACACAGGGAAATAACGCAATAGGATCAGATACGCTGGTTCTGGATTAGCCTCTGTCTCGGAGACTGCTTTAACTCTAATCTTAGGAATGTGCTGTGTTTCCTAGGATTCTGGATGCCCAGCCAGTCATGATGCGTCACTCCCATTCCAGTGTCAGGCCTCTCCCGGTGGTGGGAATGATGTGAGGCAGGAGGGGCTGCTAGTTGTAGGAGTTCATTCCTGAATCTCCCACTGGGCCCAAATCTCAGGATCTGTTGGTCACTGCTAAAACTTAACGTATTGTCCTAGGACTAGTCTGGACAGGAACCACCCTCCCCAGAGGGACTGAGTCATTGCCAGCAGGGACACTCATTCCTGAACCTCAGAAATCTGGAATGGATGCTGATGTAATATAGCTCCGCTCACAGTTATGTTAGAAAGATCAAATGAGCATTTTGAGAAGCAGAGGTTCTTCTGTGGGGCAGTAGGGTAAGCTGTTAAATCCAGGGCGTTCCGATGCCACCATTCTCCCCTCCATCACCGGGGTAAATATCATTAAGGCACACGTTCTAGGTGGATCTAGGCACGGCTGCCAGAACCTTCTCAAAGCTGTGCTTCAGGCATCTGTCGCAGACTGATCAGCATGTAAAGTGAAATTCTTTTCTAACCCTGCTCAACCTTCACCAGCTACAGAAAGTACCGTATTTTTCGGACCATAAGACGCATTTTTTCCCCCCCAGAAGTGGGGGGAAAAAGTCCCTGCGTCTTATGGTCCAAATATAGCCTACACATATACTTAAAAAAAAAAGTTTTTTTACTTACCCGGCTCTGTGTGGTCTCTGTGTGCTTGCCCGGCTCTGAAATGGTTCTAAATGCTGCTGTTTACTTTACAGGGTTGATTACATGTGTTTATGACTGTGATGTTGGGTTTTAATGCACATAAAATATTTTAGGACACTTTGTTTCAGAATCTTTTTTTCTTCATTTCCCTTCTCTAAAAACTGGTGCATCTTATGGTCCGGTGCGTCTTATGGTCCAAAAAATACGGTAACTCTTCCTATATAATCAAGGAGGAAGGAGAAAAGGCAGATGGATCTTCTTACATTTAATGAACAACTATTTATATGTTAGACACTGTGCTAAGAAAGTTTGCACACTTATTTCATTCAATCTTTTTAATAATCAGGGTGGCAGATGTCATGATTTCTATTGTTCTTAAATGGGAACAGTCTCACCCGAGTCACAGAGGTGGTCGGTTAAGAGATGAAGCAGGGGTTCAGGTCTAAGTCTGAATCTGAAGGCCATATCACCCTTGCTCTTCAAGCCTTTTTATAGTCATTGTTAATAACCACTTGTTTTTTATGATTTTAAATGTAGTGTATAGGTTTGGGGAAGTGGCTGAAAGCAGAGTTTACCATGGATTTATTAGTTTCTACAACAGATGTTCCATGAGTACTTACCAAGTACTGGGGATATTGTGGTGAACAAATCAGATTTAAAAATTATTTTCCCATGGAACTTACATTCTAGTGGGAGAAAGTAAACAATAAATAATGGACAGAGTAAATATGTAAATTACCTTTATAGTGCTATGGGAAAATAAGA